TTAGTGCTGGTGCTGCCCACAGCTCACACTCAAGTGCAGCAGCCTCAGTGATGTACAGTGTGGTCACCCCCATGCTGAACCCCTTCATCTACAGTCTTAGGAATAAAGACATAAAGAAGGTTCTGAAAATAGTCTTTGGACAGAAATTGTGAAAAAAAAAATCATTGACCTGGAGCTAAAACAATGCCCATGATTGCAGGGTTTCAAGTCTTGGAGCCAATAGTTGTGATTCTCTGATCAGATTCTGAAAGAACATTTCTGTACAATTGGAGTGACAGTGTATTTAGCTTTCTACACTCTCTCATATCCAGCCATTTTTTTCTTTAATATCTTTCTACTTCCCCAATGTCATTACTAGTCTTGTATCTGAAATACTTTAAAGGTACCATTATGACATAGAATGACATTTAACTCTTTTAAAATTTTTTCTATTTGTTAAAGAATTATTTTTATTTAATTTAATGATTATTATTATTATTTTTTTATTTGATAAGACAGAGAGAGAAAGAAAGTTTCAGGACTCAAATTATAATTTTCTATGTGGGAGTCCAGTGCTGCAACTACCATGTCACCTGCTGACCCTCTGTATATGCAACTCTAAAAAATAATGTATTCTCATATGATGTACATATTTATGAGCAATTTATATATAATATTACTAGAATAACATTTTTGGGGTTTTATTCAGTCTATGGAAAGATATAACGACAGCAAGAAATAAAAACAACTAGAAAAAAAATAACACATTACCTTTGTCAACTAATGCCATTATTTTAATTTAGAATATAGACAAATCTGAACATACAGATTTTCGTCTATATGTATTTCCTTGTTTCCAGTATCTCTATCTGAAATGTATACTTGTATATAATAGTGTGGTTATTTCTCTGTAATTTGCTCAATAGACTCCTCATCTGTTACTCAGCTTAGAGTTCACATTGCCTACTGTAATCACTGTCAATATTTGATGATCAGTTCCAGACTCTATGGTCCAGCCATAGCATACCAGAGTACCTGGCTGGAAGCCATGCGAGGTCTCTGGTTCACGTCCTGAATCCACTGAGCCTGAAATCTCACTGGCTTGGTGTTTGGTGGATCCAGAGGACTGGAGGACAGGAGGAAGGGAATCTCAGCCTGACAACGCCCTGTAGAGAGGGCTTCTTTTTTCTTTATGTCTGTCTGTCTGTGTCCTTGTTGTTCTCTCTAGCTCTCTTTCCTCATGTGCACCAACACATTCTGTTATAAATAAAAAAAAGATCAGCTACCTGAATCAAAATGTTTTGTCTATGAAAAAGTAAATCTAAACAAATATGGCCTTAGAGTCAAAGATAGCCTTAAACATGATGAAGTGAACATTTCAATCACAAATTGTAATAACTATGCACCATGTTTGTTGTTCATCCTGTTCATCTACTTGTCAAAGGACTGAAAATTGGTGTCCAGTTGGAAGGATGTTTATTCACTGGGGTAAAGGATTGACTGGTGTGTTTTATGCTGTTTCATTAAATAAATATCTTTCTGTTTCTCCTTGAATACTTCAGAGTAGGCTATAATTACAACTGCGTATTTTGCTAAAAATGAATGAATACCCCCTCTTCAAAATTTTGTCATAACTGCTGAAGAGACAGTGAATGAACAATGATCAATACCAGTCAATATATATATATATATATATATATATATAGTGCTCAAGAATTCATGAACAAAGAGTTTGATTATCTGTCCCAGTGGTTTGATTCATGGTCACAAACATCCAGTGAAAATATTCATGCCCTTCACATTGTTCCTAATGACCCTAAGGGTACACAAAGGTAGTCACTTTTTTCTAATTTTTACTTATATTTATTTATTTGTATTTATATTTTAGTTTTGCCATAGGGTAAATGCATTTGCCAGAGAAAGAGAGAAGGAGGGAAAGTGAGAAATCACTACCAAGGGAGGACAATCACACGACATTCCCTTCTACAGTCTCCTCTCAGGATTTTGGACACACATGCATATGCACCCAGTGTGACTGATCAAGCCACCAAGTCTTTGACTAGAACCGTGCACTCAGCCACATGGGGTCCAGCGCCTTAACTGTCATGCCACCTGCTGACCCATCACAATTAAATTGTAACTCATGCTTTGTGAAAGGAGCTAATGACCTTTGGAGGTAGGAGAATTCACAGAGAACATGTATTAAAGGTAAATTCATCACACTTCCAACTTGGTCTCTCGAGCACAGCAAATCAACAGGAAAACATTCCTTTCTTCCCATACCAGTGTCCACTAGGGAAATCAGCTACTATGAGGTTACAGTGATAAGGAGGAAATGTACCTAATGAGCAGACATAGGGAGCTGTAAATATTTTATGTGTCCTTGTTTCTCAAGGAGTACAGCCATGGGCTGGACAAGACATGGTTGATTTTTTAGGAATCTAATTCTTCCATTGTGTCTTCTCTAGGGACAGAAATTCAGTCTCCATCACCAACCATTCAGGGAGAAATGTACACTTCCACAGTAAACTGTCCTCTCTGAGACCCCATACAGGTGAGTCTGAGAGCCCGGTAGGTACCACAGAAATGGGTCAGAGAGAATGGATGCCAATGACATCTACCTGTGGTCACTTAAGAGCCAAACCAACCTAGCAAGAGCCAAGAGGTTGATGTGTTTGGTTACTTCTCTAGAAAGTTATTCATCGTTAATTTCTTTAATTTGTTAACAAGCCATGTGTCTGTCAGACTTAGCAATTCAGGCATCATTGTGGACAATGGAGTGATTTGAATAGAAATCCAGTTGGATGAGGCTGTAGAAGGAATGAGACAAATGAAACAATTTAATTAAACAACAAATTAGAGCATGTGCCCAGAAATTTGTAGCTCATGAAGTAGTAAACGTAGAACCAGAGTTGTGATGAGATGTGCAGTAACTTTAGGATCAGTTCAGCAATTTTTGGAATGAGTATATTTGTGCATAGTTCTGTATTTTTTGAAGGATCCAAATGAAGTGGTTCTTCGCAATTCATACCTTAAAACAGTATTTCATGAGACTTACATTTCATAGTTTCTCCTTTCACATTGAGCATTCTCATAAAAATATTATTCTAAGGTCATAATTGAGAATATTAAAAAGTTTTTACTTACAACTATTTTTCTTGCTGATGAAATTAAATAAGGTTTGTAAGTCTCTTAGCATTTTACTTTGTTGCAAATTATGCAAATGTTTTGATTTGATGTTCAGGGGTCTGAGTATATTCTATTCTTCTGATTTTTTCTTTTAGAAATAAATTGAAATATTAAAATATTCAGAATAATATTGAATTATTTTATGTGTTGATGGGTATCAATACATATTGGATGAATGTGAAAAGTTAATAGATTTTGTGTAAGGAAATCTAGTTGTTCATCATATTGTGTACCCATCCATACACCCCAAATTTTTATTAACTTAGATAAATTCTTGTACATCAGTAGTAAAAATAAATACCTTTTTTTACTCCCCACTCCACAGGGCAAATGTGGTCACCTGAGAAAGAGACAGAGAGACAGAAAGTGAAAAAATCACTCCCCGTTGGGTTGTTCACCATTTTCTCTTGAGAATTTGGGCATGCATGAACACATGCTCAGTGTCATTTTCAAACTGCTGGGTTTGGGACTTGAACCACAGTTGGCCAAGTCAGAGTACAACACCATAACCACTATGACACCTGCTGGCCCACCAAATTACCAACGTATATTGCAGTTGTCTGAATACTAATCAACTGATAACTATAAGAAAACTTTTGAAATAAAATACTTAGTGATTCCATTTAACTAAGGTATCTGAAGAAGTCAAAATCAAAGAAGCAGCCTACAAAAGGAGGAAGTAGAGTTGCTTTCTTTTTTCTAAAAACAATGTATTATTTATTTTATTAATGATTACTATTATTCAGCTTGACAAAATAAAAACAGAGAAAGAGTAAGAAATCAAGCCACCAGGTCAGGGACTTGAACCACCATTGGCCATGTAAGAGTTCAGCGCCCTTAACCACCATGACATCTGCTGGTCCCAGAACTGTTTTTCAACAGATATAAAGGTACAGTTATTGAGCCAGTTGATGATGTGGTGGTTAAGGTGGCTGAATTGCACATGGTCTACTCTCAGTTAAAGTCCCAGACCTGGCAGCTTGAAAAAAAAAATGCCAGGCATGTGTGCATGCACTCCTGGCATTCTGAGAGAAGAGAGTATTGTAGCATTGCCATTGCCCCTGGGGGGGGGGGGATTTCTTGTTTTCCTCTCTCTGTTTCTCTGTCCAGTGAGTGCATGTTCCTAATAGGTAAACTAAAACCAAAAATCAAAACAAAACAAAACAAAACAAAACAAATGAAATCCCTTTGTAACATCACACTTAACTCCATAAATATGTACCATTACCTTTGTTTCTAAATGAATGAATAAAAATCCTATAGAATACATGATCTGTGGGAACAAAGAAGTGAGATAAGAAGTCCCAACAGAGATGGCACTACGAAAGCCTAAAGCAGACTAGATCCATACAAAAATACAAAAAATAACTTTGTGATTGCAAAATATGAACTATGGCATTTCAACCATACGAATAATACCTGTTCAAGTGAAATTAGTCATCATATTTTCCTCTTTTCAGGGAGTTACCATGGAACCAGGAAATGATACACAAATTTCAGAATTTCTTCTTCTGGGACTTTCAGAAGAACCAAATCTACAGCTTTTCATATTTGGAATTTTCTTCTCCATGTACCTGATTACTGTGTGTGGAAACCTGCTCATCATCCTGGCCACCATCTCAGACTCCCACCTGCACACTCCCATGTACTTCTTCCTCTCCAACCTGTCCTTTGCTGACATCAGTTTCACCTCCACCACCGTCCCAAAGATGCTGGTGAACATCCAGACACAGAGCAAGGTCATCACCTATGCAGGCTGCATCACCCAGATGTTCTTTCACATCGTTTTTGCAGCATTGGATAACTTCCTCCTCTCTGTGATGGCCTATGACCGGTATGTGGCCATCTGTCACCCCCTGCACTACATGGTCATCATGAATCCTTGGGTATGTGGAAAGCTGGTTCTAGCATCCTGGATCATAAGTGTCATGTATTCCTTGTTACAGTGCTTAACAGCATTGCGGCTGTCCTTCTGTACACATGTGGAAATTCCCCACTTTTTCTGTGAACTTAATCAGGTGATCCACCTTGCTTGTTCTGACACATTTCTTAATGACATGGTGACTTATTTTGCAGCTGTGCTGCTGGGTGGTGGTTCCCTTGCTGGGATCCTTTACTCTTACTGTAAGATAGTCTCCTCCATTCGTGCAATCTCATCAGCTCAGGGAAAACACAAGGTATTTTCCACCTGTGCCTCCCACCTCTCAGTTGTCTCTTTATTTTATTGTACACTCTTAGGAGTGTACCTTAGTGCTGGTGCTGCCCACAGCTCACACTCAAGTGCAGCAGCCTCAGTGATGTACACTGTGGTCACCCCCATGCTGAACCCCTTCATCTACAGTCTGAGGAATAAAGACATAAAGAGGGCTTTGAAAATAGTCTTTGGACAGAAATTGTGAAAAAAAAAATCATTGACCTGGGGCTGAAACAATGCCCATGATTGCAGGGTTTAAAGTCTTGGAGCCAACAGTTGTGATTCTCTGATCAGATTCTGAAAGAACATTTCTATACAATTGGAGTGACAGTGTATTTAGCTTTCTACACTCTCTCATATCCAGCCATTTTTTTCTTTAATATCTTTCTACTTCCCCAATGTCATTACTAGTCTTGTATCTGAAATACTTTAAAGGTACCATTATGACATAGAATGACATTTAACTCTTTTAAAAATGTTTTCTATTTGTTAAAGAATTATTTTTATTTAATTTCATGATTATTATTATCACTTTATTTGGGGAGAGAGAGAGATAGAGAGAGAGAGAAAGTGAGAAAGTAAGAAAGTTTCAGGACTCAAATTGTAATTGTCTATGTGGGCGTCCAGTGCCTCAAGTACTATGTCACCTACTGACCCTCTGTATATGCAACTCTAAAAAATAATGTATTCTCATATGATGTACATAATTATGAGCTATTTATGTAAAATATTACTAAAATAACTTTTTGGGGGTTTTATTCTGTTGTAGAAAAAGAGAACAACAACAAGAAATAAAAACAACTAGAAAAACAGAAAAAACACACATTATTTTGGGCAACTAATGTCATTATTGTAATTTAGAATAGAGACCAATCTGAACATACAGATTTTCGTGTATGTGTATGTCCTTGTTTCCAGTATCTATCTGAAATGTATACTTTTATATGTTACAGTTGGCAACAAATACCATTAAAGTAATATAATTAAAGGATTAATCGATGTGTTTTATGTTGTTCCTTTAAATATCTTCCTGTTTCTTCTTGAATACTTCCTGTGCTGGTTGTAAGGATAACTCCTTGAAGTGCTTACAATGTATTACCTCCTCCCTCTTTTACATTTTGTCCTAACTGCTGAAGGGACAGTGAATGAACAAATAGCAATATCATTCAATATATGTTTCTCTTGTCTTCAAGATTCTCTGAAATTCGTGATCAAAAGGTGACTCACAAGAAAAAGACATGAAAGAATTTGTAACATAAAATAACCTGGACTTTTCTAGCTCAGCATTATAATCAGTAGAGACAGCAAAAGATCAATAGCACCAGAGGATTATCTTAGGAAAGACTTTGAGGGACCAGCAGTTAGTGTAATGGCTATGTCGCTGAACTACGATGTAGTTGACAGCGGTTACAGTCCCAGACCTGGTGGCTTAAATTCACGCCAGGCAAGTGTGCATGTGTGCCCAAGATCACGAAAGGAGAATGGAGGAGAAGGGATTGTGGTGTGGCCATCTCCCCTGGGAGGTGATTTCTCGCTTTCTGTCTCTCTGTCTCTCTCTGTCTTTCTGGCGAGCACACGCTCCCTATAGCAAAAACCTCTCAAAAAAAAAAAAAAAAAAGGCTCTGAAGGAAGAAAAAGAGATTGATCTTAGCAGATGGTACATCACAGAATACTTGGTAGGCAGGGCTGAACTGAGAAGGTTTATGTGTGACTAGTGTGCTGGGCATTTGCTTTTCAGCGATTTGAATAATTGACATGTAAATATTTCCCCCCAAATATTTAAAACCATACTGTTTCTATTGTTATAGAGTCACAAAATTATACAAAACTATAATAAATATTTTGGACATTATCTTTAAAATTCAGTATTTCAAAATTTTGAAAGTTGTTTATAAACTGTCAAGAACTATGGAGTATGAGCTAAAATTTTTTGATATGTAAAGTAAATGTGGAAAAAATGTAAAAATAAATAAATCAATCAAAAGAAAAAAAAAAGAGATTGAATTTCTGTCCTAGTCATCTGGTTCAGGGCCATAAGTTTCCTGTAAAAATATTCATGTCTTTTTTTCTTTTTCTTTCATTTATTTATTTTTACATTTTTTCCACATTTACTTTACATAGCAAAAAATTTTAATCGATGTGTTTTATGTTGTTTAAATATCTTCCTGTTTATTTCATTATTTAACTTTTTTATATCAATCTGAAAAACAAGCTTTAACACCTGCTGTTGTATACCTAGAGAAGACTTGTCATCTAAAATGTCATAAAGACATATCACTTTATAAGAATAAGAACATCTTTTTAAAAATTTACTTATATCATAATCTCACTAAGAACATCTTTTTTATTTACTAGTTTTTACTTCAGGAAAGTATGTAGTGTGATGCTAAATAAAAGATACATTATGACAGCATAAAATTATGGGAAAATAGACAGGAAATGTGAGTTCAAGTAAAAAAGGCAATGATGCCAAAATTTCAGCTATGAAGAATAAGCTCATATATGTACTTTAAAACTTATTTTATTTTAAATTTTTGATTAGCTTTTTATTTTGGGACAATTATAGAGTAACATGCATTTATAATAAATCATACAGAGAGATTCATTGTAATGTATAATGAAATAATTATACAAGTCACCAGAATGCAGCATTTGTAGCTGCTTCCCAGTGCTAGTATCATCACCTCAACTCCACCTCAGATAATCAGCATTAGAGTCTCGTAAGGACCAGTACTTTACTCAGTTTCCTCACTGGTAACATCTTACAAAACCAAAACACAATATCAGAACCAGGATATGAATACTGATACAGTCAAAATGCTGAACAAATCTATCAACACAAAGATTTCTAGCTCTGTCGTTTATATCACACCCACCTCTTTCCTGCCCAGTTCTTGATCTTTAGCAAACACAAATCTATTCACCATTTATATAATATTATTATTTAAAACATTTTATGTGTACAGTAATACATACATAGGAAAATGGTGTAGTAGACCTGAGTTGGTTGGTTCTGACAGTGAATATGTTTGCAACTGTGGATCTTGAACTAAAACAGACACACAGTCCTAAAGATGAGACTAAATGCTAGGGACCAGCAGGTATCATGATAGCTAAGATGCTGGATTCCCTCATTGCCAATCACAGTTTGAGTCCTGGACCTGGTGGCTTGCTTATTCAATTTCCCTCTCTCTGTCTTTCTCTGATGAGTGCATGTGCCTTATAGCAAATAATAACATTAAAAAGAAGAAGAAATAAAATTAAATAAACATTTATTTTTAAAAATCCATTGATCAGTGATAAAACACACTGGCGTACAAAAGTATACATAATAAAATAGAGCAGTTAATATACTAATATGTGATGGGAAAATGGCAAAAAGTGAAAAAATCATTGTCTTGGATTTCCCTCTCCTACAAATTTCATAAATGGTCTTAATTGATAACTGTATTCCATAAGAGCAGTACAACTCATTTCTTTAGTAATGAAAAGAAACACTACTTGGTATGTTAATACTATGTAATTGAAAAAAGTCATTCCTTGGAAATCCATGTTGTCTAATAAGACAGTGATCCAGTGGTCTCCAACCTTTTTGGCACCAAGAACTGTCTTTCATGTAAGACAATTTTTCAATGAACCCAGTAGGGTGGATGGCGTCAGGATGAGTCAAATGCATCACATTTGTTGTGTACTTTTTTTTCAATTATTATTACATTGTAATGCATAATGAAATAATTATTCAAGTCACCAGAATGCAGCATTTGCAGCTGCTCCCCAGTACTAGTATCACCACCTCAGCTCCACCTCAGATCATCAGCATTAGATTCTCATAAGGACCATGTGACCTGGATCCCTCATATGTGCAGTTCACCGCAGGGTTCCTGCTCTTATGAGAGTCTAATGCTATAGCTGATCTGACAGGAGGCAAAACTCAAGCAGCAATGTGAGCAAGGGGGAGCAGCTGTAAATACAGATGAAACTTCACTTACTTCTCCACTGTTCACTTCCTGCTAGGTGGTCCAGTTCCTTATAGACCACAGACTGGTATTGTTCCATGTCCCAGAGATTGGGGACCTCTGCCATAGATAAATGTATATTTACAAATAGTTCTGAGCAAGTTTGAGGATAACTTTAGAAAAATGACAAGAAAAATCCGTTGGCTATCAGAGACCAAAGATTTTTAATAAAGCAAGTTGCTTAAATTGTATAGAGAAATGAAAAAAGAAGAAATGAAAATCTCCTGGAAATGAATAGAGAAGGAAAAGTAGTTCTTTCACAACCTGATTGAGTAGTACTCTCACAGTCAGACATCATCCACAATGTCGGACTCTTTACTCTGAAGTTTGAGCTGTACAATTATAGATCATTCGTCTCTCTCCAGTCAATACACACTCCCTATAACAACAACAATGAAAGTATTGGAATACTTCTGTCATATAACTTAATATATACCTGAGAGGATAACAGTTATTCAATAAGTAATTATTGCCTGGTTTAGAGACAAAAATAACGTATCATATTTTTTACTTATTATATGTGATTCAGAACAGGCAAGTGGAACCATCTGACTGAGATCACAGAAAAACTGGGGTATTTCCACGTGTGAACAGAAGGAGAGCCGTAATGTCATGGAGCTTTGTAACAAGGAATTCAGGAAAGTCATGATCCAGGAGATTAAAACCAACAATATACAAAACTGGGGATTCATGATGACTGTGTAATGCAGGGGGTGACAGATGGCCACATACCGGTCATAGGCCATGACGGTCAGGAGAAAGTCATCCAACACTATAAAGAGTATGAAAAAGAACATCTGGGTGATGCAGCCTGCATAGGTGATGGCCTTGCTCTGTGTCTGGATGTTCACCAGCATCTTTGGGACGGTGGTGGAGGTGAGACCAATGTCTACAAAGGACAGGTTGGAGAGGAAGAAGTACATGGGGGTGTGCAGGTGGGAGTCTGAGATGGTGGCCAGGATGATGAGCAGGTTTCCACACACAGCAATCAGATACATAGAGAGGAAAAGCCCAAATAAGAGGGGCTGCAATTCTGGCTCCTCTGAAAGCCCCAGAAGAAGGAATTCTGAAATTCTTGTGTCATTCCAGGGCTCCATGTGTTGTTCGTGACTACCAGCAAGGAGAAAAAAAAAAAGATGAGTACTTTTCAAGCGACAGATGTTATTGGTATATAGCTATCATGCTACAG